TTTGCCAGGAGATTAAATGAAATATTTATCAATTAACTTTGAGACAGGAACTATTTGAAGAGCACATAATTGAAATTTCAGAATAATCATGAACACGGGTAATAGACGGTAAAGATTCAGTAGCCGCTGGCCAATTTCCTCTGCTGGGTTGGGGCCGAGTAAGGACGGGAGGGGGCCCTCGGAGGACAAGGTCCTCGCTGCCTGACCCCCTCTGCTGTCTATGTCCCACCGTGTGCCCCAGCCCCCTCTCTGCACCTTTAGTCAATGTTCCTTTTACCTGTGTCTTCCCTCCTTCACCTTGGCTTGTAAACATCCTCCTCACCTCTTCAAGACCTGGTTCAGATTTCACCCACTGGAGACAGTTTAAAGCCCTGGAACCACCACACGGCTTCCTGAACCATGTTTCCTTAGGGACTGGATACATTTTACATCCCGCAGAAGTATGTTCTGTTCTTTTGCAAGGACGCAGAGATGTTGTTGTGGTGACTGCTGTGTTGTGACACATTCATTCATGAGTCATACGAAAGTTAAGGCAGCTGCGGCGAAGCAGTTCCACGGAGCGATGAAGAATGAAAGAGCTGAGATTAGAGGGTTGGGAGCCTGAGTCTGCCACACTCCAGCGTTGGGATTGGGGGCAAGTTACTGAATTTCTGCCTTGGTTTTTTCACATATAAAATGGAGATCATGAGAGTAATTATTCTTTGGGTTATGGTGAGGATGCAATGAGCTTACTATGTGTAAAGTACTTAGAACCGTATGTGGCAGACTGGAAGTTCTTAGTAACTGTTAGTTTTAACCGTACCTGTCGGCATTATCACGCTTTTCCAATCATCCGACACGACAGCAGTACTCTCATGGTGAGGGGCCCATGTGTTTTCTTAAAGTTGAAATGGCTCCTAGCTGGGAACCACTGAGCTCTCTCTTCCTGCCTCTCTGGTGGCATTTACCATACTTTGCCTTCTGTTTTAGTATCCGTGACATGCCTCGTATTCTCTTCTACTCGTAAAAGCATGCCGTCATCTTTGAATCCTCTTAGCGCTTGGATAGAGCAGGAGCAAAGTAAGCGCTTAATGAATGAACGAATAATTGTGAAGCAGAACGAAAGGCTGCTCAAGAGTCCGAGGGGAGAAAACGGAGTAATCGTTATTTAACATTCTCAAAGTTTTTTCGAAACCCAGAGCCCTTTATCGATTCAGCCTGAAACTCACTTCCTTGTTTTAAAAGTGGAGAACCTTTTAAATACATTTTAAAGGCGCTTCTGGTATTCTACTTTTAAAAGACTTGATCATGACTCCTTTTCAAGGCTCTTTATAGGAAATGAACACTAGTCCAGGGTAGAATCTTTTTCCATCTTATATACTAGAACCACGGAGATTTAGGCAAGAGAGAAGGAGAAAGACCCCTTTAATTCAAGCCATGAAAATGGCCACAGTCAGGCCCAACTCAGGCCCAGATAAGAAGGAGAAGGGCACAGGAGTTGGGCGCTGGCAGTTTTAAGTTGTATAAAGTATTTCAATGTATAGTCAACTCTAGGTTAGATGTGCCAATGGAGGAATAAGAGATGTGGGTAACAGGAGACAGGAAACACAATGACTTTTTTTTATATCTGCCTCTGGAAGGCATCGCGGGAGCAGACACACGCACAGTCAGACACGCACAGTCAGACACGCACAGTCAGACACACACAGTCAGACACGCACAGTCAGACGCGCAGAGTCAGACACGCACAGTCAGACGCGCACAGCTTCGCTGCAGTTACGCCGCCTCCAGACTCCTCCCAGCAGGACCTGTGAGCGGCGCTGGGTGGCATTACGAACAGGGCCGGCAGCGCCCAGGGTAACCCGCCCAGCACATGGCCCCGTTAGATTCTAAGTCTCCTGAGTACAGGAATTCGGTTTTCCCTGTCCGCAGCTAACGCTCCATCGCCGTGCTCAGCAAGACTTAGTAAATACTTTTAATGAAAGAATGAATGAGTGAGTGAGAGAGCGAGTGAATGATCCGAAAACTGACCCTCTAAGAAGACTGCCGACAATGACAGATGAGCCAGCGCGCGTTTCGTCTGAAATGACGTTCAGTGAGATGTAGGAACAGGGAACAATAGAATTTTATCCTGTAGGACTCCTTAGAGGCCATTTAAGGCCTCTTTTGAGAGATGAGGCAAACTTCTTGTAGTCAAGGGCCAGATAGTGAACATTTGGGACTTTGCATTTCCAGCTCCTCAGCTCTGCCCACGTGGCATGAAAGCAGCCAAGGATAATACATAAACGAACGGGCACGGCTGTGTTCCAATAAAACATTACTTACGAAATAAAAGTGCTTGACCGAATTTGGCCCAAGAGCTCCCCTTGCAAGGGCGTCCGTGATTTCAGAGAACACGGAGGCACAGAAGTCGGGGGAGCTCCCTGAGTCCACGTGACTGGCCAGTGCTGCAGTTGGGACCAGAATCCAGATTTACTGACTCTAAGCCCCCCAATTGTTCTCTCATCCAAGGAAAATCCATTTATTCGTCGATTTAAATAATCACCGAGTCTGCATGTACCAGGCACGGTACCGTGCACCGGGTACATCTGCGTGAACCAGGGCGACGTGGCCTTGCTCTTGGAGTGGGGGAGGGGCAGAAGGCATGACAAGTCAGAGTAAGAAGTGCTACCGCGGAGGAGGTGCAGGTGGTATCAGGATACACAGGCACCACCACAGCGTAAGCAGCAAACTTTCCTCTCTCTCGTGTCACTGAAATTTCCACGGGGAAGTCCAGGCCCTTAACGGCGCCTCGAAGCACGCTCCTATTACAACTATTACCACCTCTCCCCAAGCCCCTCCGTTTAATTCTCTTCTAAAAACCACGAATTCCAACTATGCGACGGAGCCCGAGAGCACACCTTAGTTCATTAGTGGGAGCGTGGATTATCTCCACTGACCTTGGAGCTTTCCAGTTAAAAAGTTCTTTGAGTTCACAATCTGATCCATGTCTGAACGGATGGTTCCTTCCAGGCCCTTCCGCAGAGCTGTGCATTCCTCCTTCAAGGCACTTAATCCTTCTGAAACTTGATGCTGGACCAGGTTGTAGGCCTCCTCCAGGAGCTGCCACAGAGAATGACACATAAGCAGAGGCTCTGCCACGTGGAAGCGCGTGACCGGGTCAAGTACCGGGAGGAGGGATAATCACAGATTATCATAACATCAACAAAACATAGCACCCATTCTAATTTTTCTTTCAAAGTTTGAATCTGTTTAGATTAGTCCTCATGTAAGTGAGATTGAGCAGACTCGAGGTAGGCAGCTCTCCACCCAGGGGAGGAATTATTTAAATTTAAAAAAAAATTCCCTAAAAAGAGAAGGGAAGGAAACGTTTATTCTGAGTGGCACGACCGCCCGACAAAGTCGTCGCTTACACCAAGCCAGGCCCTCTTTCTGTCATTCTTCTTCCCCTTCATTTTCGGCAGCAGGTCTGTCTGAAGGGTTGGCAGGAGCTCGTCCATCACCAGGTCACTCAGGATCTGCCGAGAAGAAGAAGGGAGAGAGCCCCAGAGGCAGTTAGATGGTGATGGCCCAACCAGAGCATCAGGCCAGCCGAAGCTGTCATGGTTGGCCGTCCCTGTCCTGGCTACTCAAGATTGTCCTGGGCCACATGAAATCTGTTAGGTTAATAGTTTTGCTCTGGGTCCGAGGCCATGGAGATCTCAGAGGGTAAACGTTCTTAAACGTCTGTAAGGAACAATAACGTCCACTAATATTTTCTCATTGGAAAGAACAAATTCCTCAAATTCAAATGACTCGTGTTCAAACTGGAAAAATCTAGTGCATTTAGGATAAGAGGGAAAACTTTAATTATGGAGGAGGGCATCCTTAGCAAAACTGGGAAGGGGGTCAGGCTTGGTCATGGTGGCTTGATCCTTATTTGTGTCCCCTGAGGTCATCCATCATTCCTCCTCAAACTCCCTTGGGATCTAAGTGTCTTCATGTTCTATGTCTTTACTGCCTCTTGAACCCCACCCCCATCCTCTTTAAAATTTAGAAAAAGAAGAGAGTAATAAATACTTTGAAACAACTAGACACTTGTGGGAATGAGCAGAATACAGAAGGTCTAAAGTTTCCTGGGTATTTTTTTAAAAATTGTTCCCAAATTCTCCTAAAAGTTTGCTTGGTTCGGTGAAAATGTCTCTTCTGAATCTGAGCAGTGTTCAACATGTCCCCAAATAATAAATACACCAAATAACTGTAGATACTTTACAGAGCACTCCACATAACACTGGCCAGCACTTTCTTACTGCCCCCCACTCCCCACCCCAATCAGAGCAGCCTTATTGTTCAGATTCACTTTTATCACGAGTCTTTCGGGGCTCACAGCTCAGCCTTCGATATCGGGCTACACACCAGGATTACAAAAGAACCAGAGCCATTTGGGGCATGGAGGCAGGCGGAAAAGCAGAGAGTCATTCAGCATCTGCTCTATGGATTTAAAATATTTGTCCAAAATAATTAGCCTCTTCATGGAAATTCAAGTTAAGTGTTGAGAATTAAGAAAGATCTTCTCTGAGATCATCGTTCGGCCTCATGCTAATAGAAATACTCCTGGCTCACTAGACGTTGCTGTCACCCGGGGTTACAGCAGGGCGGAACGCTTTAGCTGACCTGAACAGGGACATTCAAGCCCTCTAGCCACCCTGTACTGAGAGGGAAGGCTGCTCGGGTCAATGCGGCGAGTAGGGGCCTGTCATCTGCCATGTGGAACTTCGTGGAATGACAATGAGTATGATGGGGGTAGGATTCCCACTAGGCTTGGTAATTCATTGGCGGGGATGTTTTTCACCTTTCTTAACCATTCTCTTGGGGCAGCCCAGAGGTGAACCAGCACTTCTGAGAACTTAAGGCATGCACACACTCCATGGAAATCGGCAGGTCTAACAATGAGATTCCAGTAGGTCATTAGTAATCCGTGGACTCTGCTCCGTGGGGTAGTTCTCGTTTAGAACATCTCTGCCCAAGAGTGACCGGGCTGTGGCATCGGCAGGGTGAGCTAAGAGCTTAAGGACACTGAAGCCAGAACTTAAAATCAATGGGGAATTTTATCTCAGTTGAAAAGTGTTAAATTGAAGATAATTGCCCTAATAGTAATTGCTTGAATCCTTCTGTTTGCAGAGATTGGTTTGAATCTGAGCATAAGCATGAAAGGGAATTGAAAAGATGAAAAGTGACAAAGGCCAAAGAAGAGGATGTTCCATGTGAGTGGGCTTATAGTTTTCTTTTAGTCTTTCCCATACGATGTTCTAAGAAATTTGATTCTATTTTAAAACTTAGGGAATTGACAAGGAAATATATCTGGGAAACGAGGAGGGAAATGTGAGTGGGTCGTAAGAGCAGGAGGCTCAGGGGAAAGGGCAGGGCGGGGCAGAGCCTCCGGGTGCCGAAGCCCCACTGTGTCTCATCCACCCCTACGCGGCCTTCTCTTCCTCCGACTCCAGACGTATGGACAAGGCCTAAAAAATGTGGGTCGTTTTCTTGTCTCGAAGCCACCCTATTCTGTGGGAATGCTGTGCTCTCAGTTTATCTGGTTAATTTAAAGGCAAATAATAAATATACCAAATAACTGCAGATACTTTACATTTTGCAAAAGGCTTTCCCCCATGACTTCATTTAATACATTTATATTGAGAAGTAGAAAATATAGTTACTGGTGTAATAATAGAGTCACCCTCTCTTATCCGTGGGGGGAAACACTCCAAGACCCCCGTGGATGCCTGAAACCACAGATAGTACCAAACCCTATATGTACTGAGTTTTTCCAAACATATATACTTATGATAAAGTTTAATTTATAAATCAAGCACAGTAAAACATTAATAGCGAAGTATAGAGTAGAAAAATTATAACAATATGCTATAATAAAAAAGAAGTTATGTGAACGTCGTCCCTTGTTCTTTCTGATAACTGATAAACCTCTCTGATAACTGAGATGGTACTAAGCGACCGACAGGTGGGCCGCGTACCCAGCGTGGACACACTGGGCAAAGGGATGAGTCACGTCCTGGGAGGGATGGAGATTGCGAGAGATTTCATTACACTACTGAGAACCGCACAATTTCAAACTTATGAATTGTTTATTTCTGGAATTTTCCACTTAATATTTCTGGACCGTGGTTGACCACAGGTAACTGAAACTGTGGAAAACGAAACCGCAGAAAAGGGGCGAGGGGTTAGGGGGGTGGCGGGGCGACTGTATTTTCGTCTGTATTAATATTCTGTACTAATTACTGTACTAATGGTCTGTCAGGCAAGTTAGTCTAAGACAATTGCTTTGCCTGGACGCTTGCCTAAAATAACCATTGCCACTGAGGGCCTGCCATACTTGTTGTGTGAGTCATGACTACGAAGAGAGTAATGTAACAATGATGAAAATTTGACTACAGGCCCCTAGGGTAGAGGGGGTTAGGACAATGTTATGATTAAGTTCTTAGCAGACATGAAGGAACAATGCCAACAAAATCCAGTGCTTTAATCAAAAGATGGCATATTCTCAAACTCCGTAATGTTGTGCCATTTTCTTTAACTACTTGGTAGCCACTTTGGACCCCTGACCTTTTTTTTTTTTCTGTGAGTTTTAGGACAGATGCCGCTTCTGCTCTGTGTATGAGAGGTTACAGTGAAGCTTACTCTCACCGGGCCTCACACAGGAAAGTTTTGGAAGCCATTTACTTTCACCAGCTTTTCTAAGGATAGCCTGACATGGCTCAAAACACATCTCTGTCACAGACTGGCTTTGTGACTTCAGCCAAATTCTCTGAATGTTCTTTCTCTCAACCTGGAGGGTGCTGGACAAGGGATCCCAAATACAGTTCCAATGTTCACATTTTATACATCTGTGATTTCACCAAGAATATTCAGGTCTCTAGGAGAGTAAAACTTCTTACTGGGTCAGTAGATAACTCCAGATTTTACTGATCTCTTCTCAGGTTTTTGTTTTGTTTTCCCATTTATGGTATTTTTATACTGCCAAGTTAGCACCTTCCTATGACTGCTTCGTGCGGATGCTCTATAATGTCCATATATGTAGAGACCCACGTATGTACCCACACACACTTCTAACGCCGCCTTGCTCTCTGGATGTTTCTAGGTAGGTCTTGCCTCACCACCTTGGCAGGGGATGAGTCATTTAGTTTGATTTCACCTTAGAGCACTTCACACATATATCAGCCCAAAGCAAAAAGCAGAAAAACACAAGCAAACATGACAAGCTCAGTACCCAGCCCCCTGGAAGGATTTACTGAGTCCCTGCTTTCCATGGCATCGTGAAGGGATGTGAGATGACATGAGATTGCAAATGAAAGAAAAAAAATGAAGCAAGTGGCACAGCTAAAATCAAGGAGTTAAATAACTGTGTAACTGTGTATATTCCCAAGTTTGCTGTTGCTCTTTCATGGGACTGGGAGTCAGAAGCTATTGTTTCCTTCACCATTTGTCCCCATGCTTAGAGGGTACAAATCAGCTCTGCAGGGCAGGGCCCATTCTTCCTTGTCCATCTCTGGATCACTAGCACCCAGCATAGTGCTGGGCATTTGGTGGCTCAATAAATAGTTGTTAAGTAAAACTGGGCAAGTCACTTAACTTGCTATATGCCTTCTTCAGGTTTTTTGCATTTACAAAACGGAAAGAACAATAACTGCTCTACCCGCCTTGTGAGGTTGTTAAATGAACAGATAGGATTTAAGCATTAAAATGCATCACACAGAGGCATTCTAATACTAGTTTGTCTATTAAATGTGTTTGTGTATATGGCAGGCAAATCAGGGTCAAAGACTTTAGTCCCCCCTTATGCTTTTAGTTTTCTTTTTGGCATAAGTATGGTTAGCCCTTAATCCTCTCAGATTTTTAAATGGAAACCAAGAATTGGTTAAAGTTCTTGAATAAGTCTCAGGGTGGGAAATAAATGAGTTTAAAATCTACCCTCCCTCCCCCCAAAAAGAAGAGGAAGATTCTGAGTCATATGATAAAACAATAAAGAACAGCCCCATCATCACGTGAAAACGTTTTCAGCTTTAGATGTTTAATGACCATCCAAAGGCAAGGCACTATCTGGTATCTTCCTAAATATTGTTCCCTAATAACAAATTTCACTGGCCCCCAAAAGAGGAGTTCTGGGAGGTGAGGGGCAAATTAAAGAATACCATTCTTGGACCCTGTGTACCTCTAATTAAATAATGCCCATGGCCAGCCTCCTTTTTCTGGCTGAATCAGCTGTGTGACTGGTGTCCTCATGGAAGATGGGCTCGCATCATGAAACACAGTTTCCTTGGAGGTTTGTAACAATGTCTCCAAGACGAAGACCACCAAGGTGCTTAGCCTATGACTGGCATTTCATTAAGGTCATGGAAAATGATACTGGACCACACAGGATGGAAAACTAGAAAAGGTAAATGAAACATATAGAAAGCTATCTAATGCTTTTAAAATGTGTCTCCTTTAATTGCTTCATCTCTAAATCACTCAAAAGATAAAGACAACCATGTGCCAAATACTTTCCCAAAAGCATTTCATTTAATTCTCATAACCCTGCAAGGCAAACATCACCATTCCTATTTCTTTCAGAGGAGTAACCTGAGTCTAAAAGAGGTTAAATAACTTGGCAAGATTTGACCTGTCTGTTCACCTGAAGTTCCATCACACACTTTGCACTAAAACACACTGTTTACATTTGCTTCTACTCTGAAAGCATAAGGTCATCTGAAAGAATAATCCTTTTAATAGAAAAAAAGTAAGCAGCTCTTCCCATTGTGCTTCGGCCACCTTATTTAGTGCCTGGTCTGGTAGTCTTTAGAGTGCGTGCCCAGCAGTGGGTTTGCTGACTTAAGGTTTCTAGACCATGAGAGAGATGGTCTTTGGAACCACGTCTTCCAGTCTGGCAATTGTGTTTTGTTTGATTGTTTATTACGACCCTGACCTCTTATCACCCAGATAGAGAAGAGAATCAAAATTCTGAGCCCCGAATTACCTGGACTTCATCACCAGTGATCATCTCCCATGAGCCATAGTGACCCTTCTCCTGTCGGAAGAATTGAACAGCTTCTAAAAAGGCTTGGACTTCAAACGTTGTCTGCTTCATGTAATCTAAAAGAAAGAAGCAAGTGCATTTAGCAAAGAAAAATACTTAATTTTACATTTATTCATGGTTCTTCACGTATAATGGTCCAGACACTTACCATTACCTGAATATTACAAGAAATGGAATTACGAGACACAGAAAAGTTCAGCAAGTACTGAGTTCAAAGTTGCAAGTATACATCACACTGCTTGCTCGCCATACTAGCTGATTAAATCTATCAGTTGCTGGGCATACTGGTTAGGACTAGAGACGGATCCATCTCTCTCTCCCTTGTAACTGCTTTCCTCTCTCAGGTACCTCAGTGCCTGGTGGCCTTATGCTGCCAACTGTAACACCTCCCGCTAAGACAGACCATTTCTTAATGATGCCTTGTGTATCTACGGTATTCATCCCTTTCCAGTTTCCTGAACAAAATTCCAATTTCTTTGCAACCTGATACCAACTTTCTGTCAAAAGGACATCAATATAATATGCAGATTTATGCAAATGAAGGGTGATCATTGTTAACACTTCTATATCAGGATATTGTTCTTCTAAGCTTGTTATGTATTTCATTGAAACCTCAGAAAAACCTCTGAAATGAGTATTATTATCCCCATTTTATAGATTAAGAGACTGAAAGTACAGAAAAATGAATTAAGGTCCGAAGGCCCCACAGGTAGTAAGGGCGTAAACTCCAGCAGTCACTCCAGAGCCTACTCTAACTGCTATACGACACAACCTCTCATGCTAGTTTTACGGGTTTGCCTTCCCAAGCATATTGAATTTTAAAAAGTGTTATATCTGAGAGGTAATATTCTGCCAGAAAGAAATGAATATCTGAAGGTATGATTTTAAGTACGGTTGAGGAAGCGGGCTGACTGGTCTTTCCAGAATTCCACAAATCATGCTGTGCATGCATATGTCTTCATTTATGCTATGACTGAGTGTCTGTGTTCCCCCAGATTCATATGTTGCAACCTTAATCCTCAATATGATGATATTTGGAGATGGAGCCTTTGGGAGGTAATTAGGTCACAAAGGTAGAACCCTCATGATGGGATTAGTGCCCTTACGAGAAAAACAAATGCTATGACAGATGCTGGGAGGGAAGACCAGACAGACCCTCACGGCCAAGTTCGCCCTCTCATCAAGCCTTTACCCTCCTGAGGCTGGTCTTATTAGAGACCTGTGGTTCCACATGTCCTTCCTGTATGTTCACTTTCATTCTCCTCCCTTTCAGGAACTGTCCTCTGAAAATAAAAATGGATTTTTCTAGAACCGTCTCCCCAGCCTACAGAAAGAAAAAAAAAGATCTCTCTCTCCCTCTCTCTCTCTCTCTTTCTCTCTCTCTCAATCTCTCTCTCTCTCTCTCTCTCTTTTTCTTTCTCTCTCTCTCTCTCTCTCTCTCCCCCTCCAGACACCGGATCTGCCAGGTCCTTGATCTTGGACTTCCAAGACTATGGTGTCTTTCTCTCTCTCTCTCTCTCTCTCTCTCCCTCCAGACACCGGATCTGCCAGTTCCTTGATCTTGGACTTCCAAGACTATGGCATTTTTGTTATACCAGCCCAAACTGACCAAGATAATTTTCAACACATAAAAGTAGCTTTTGGAGGATACGATGAGAACAGAATTATGGCTATCTTAGCAGGGAAACTAATTATAGAAATAATATCATCTAACAATAAAAAAATCAAATTATGGAAAGAGGAAGTAAAATGGGCAAAGTGAAGTGATTGAAAGGGCCTACCTAGTTAGTCTCTTGCCTCCTGTTTGCTTGCCAATAGCATATGATCTGCATTTACAGGGCGATCTTAGATTGGTCAGCTAATCACTGGGAGATCTTCAGAGCTTTAGATAATGGGACTGCTCAGTTGATATGGTAGACTAAGCAAAACCAAAAGAGGATCAATCTGCTTCAAAAGGTGACAATCAATTAATAGGAGGTAAATAACTCTTTCGAGATTGGCTTATTAGGCTGTAAGCCTCAGGAACTTAAAAAAGAGAAAACAAAATTCAAGACATAGCCTCTATAAGAATTCAAGCAAAATTCTTCGCAGTGAGGGAACCATGAAGGCCAGAAGCTCCATTTTCAAAAATGTGGAACAGTAACTGACTACTGTTACTAATATCAACACAGAGATTTGGTCAAAATCTAAATCAGAAAAAAGGCATGTCCCAAGAATCAAGTTTTTAAACTGAAATATTTTCTTCCTCATTATTTTTTTCTGGCTTGGCAATTGATTTAGTGTTTAATCTTAGAGATCTGGAAAGCAAAAATTAAGATCTTGGTATAAAATTGACAACCAGGGGGCTGTGATAGGGGCTTGGCTCACTGGAAGGGACTTTACCAACTGAGATGGAAACTGTAATTACTACATTGAGATTGAAGAATGACTCATGCGCTCTTATTTTTAACAGCTGTTTTCATTTCCAACCTAAAGAAACAAAGGGATGGAAGAAAATGTGGTACTTAGATGGAGTGAGTATTGCCAGATCCATGAGCCTGGGAATGTAGTTTTAAATTCTTCATGTCCTTACAAGAAGCATAAATTTACTTATTTCTTTTCCCGCTGACCTCAGTAACTGGAGGAGGTATTTAAAATCCTGTCCATACTTTCTATATCTGTATTGAAGCAAACGATACTCCCATCGATGATTGCATTTTCGAAGATCTTTGGGAAAAAAAAAAAAAACAACTCAAGAAATGGGATTTGAGATGATGTGTGAGTCAGAGGGAAGTCAAAAGAAGCAACAGAAGAGGCTAGAACATAGTAGTGGTGGAGGATGAGGCAACTTAATACAGGGAGAGAAGAAAAGTATTAGTAATCAACGGACCACAGAGGAAATCACAGTAACTGAGCATAAGCAGTGAAGCCTCAAGCAATAAGGGAGTGGATCTGAATTCTGGACTCTTTACTGTTAAGACAGACCTTAATGAATTTTAATTACTACTTTTCCATAGGGGAAAAAGGATCTAACCTACTGATTCATCATTAGATTTTTTTTGTCTTGTTAACTGATTAACTTAACTTACATAAAACTTTAAGAATCATATCTGCCATATGGTTAAGTTGCTTTATGGATACTGGTTCTTAGGATTACAAACAAAGCCCAACAGCAACTGCCAGATAAGTAAGGAAATAAAGGACAAAGGTCTGCTTTGCAAAAGATAGAACTATTATTGCAATGGTAATATGATCTTTGTTTCTTCTAAGTTGTTTGCAAAGAAAGGCATTGCTGAACTCAGCCAGAATGTACAGGTGTTTGAGGAAACAGATTACCAGTTATTTGATCAACTTCCTGCCACAGATCTCATGGGAACAAATTCTAGGATCACAATTACCCATTCTCCTGCCAATAAGCAATTGAGAGTTTAGTTCAATGGCCTCCAGATTAACAATAGTTTTTGGTGTTTAAAAACCTTCTCCCTGCAAGTCTACTTGGAACAGTGGCAGATATCAGCTCAAACTCTACTTTTCCAACATGCTGTAATTATGAGGATGCTTAAGGAGAAAGATGTATTAGGGAGAACTTAGACATCATTAAATCCAGCTCCCTCGTTTTACGGATGAGGAAACTGGAAGAAGAAATGGTTAATTTCTTAGCTGAAGGTCACACAGCTGGTCAGAATCAGAGCCAAGAGTTGAAAAAGTGGCGCTGGCATGTCATAAGTGGCCTTGGCATTCATGCTTACTTAAATCATAGATGATGAGAGTTAGAAGTAATCTTAAAGGTTCCCTAACCCTAAGCTCTCTCAATGCTGGGAGCCTTCAGAATCCCAGGCAGACACTCATCTTGGCCTTAGCTTGAATGTTTCCAGTGACAGGAAGCTCACAATTTAATCAAATAGTCTTTTCGTCACTGAACTGTTCTAATTATTTAAAAATTTTTCCTTCTGTTGAGCCAAAATCTGTTTCCATGAACTCTCTCTCTCATTAATCCCATTTCTGTCTTTCAGAGCAAAATAGACAAATTTATTCTTCTTCCATCTGGTAACTGTAAAAGATAGCTGAATGTACTTATTTTCCTTCAACGATTTTTTTAAAAAACATGGTTTTTTGGATCTTTGAAAATTGGCCTTTCTTTTTCCTTTTTTTTCCTTAGTGACCAATTCCAATTTATCAATATTTTTCTTAAATTTGGCCCCTAGACTGAATACAACGCACCGAGTATTGTCGAACTAGTACAAATGACGTAAGGTAGAAAGATTATTTTCCTTTTTTCAGGTCCCTAATCTCTTTTTTAATACAACTACATCATACTGTGTACTCATCCCTTTTTGTAGTGCAATAAAATCCCTGTACCTTTTTTCATAAAAAACGCTTATCAATCTAAGCCTTTCCCAAGCCTTTCCCAACCTAATTTGCTTTTGATTTTGAAGTATAGGTTTTAGTATTACTCCTATTAAATTACAACTTACTGTGACCAGCTCAGGGCCCCAGAACCCGCCCAAATCATTTAAAAATTGTAATCCTGTCCCCAAACTCCCTTTTACCTTGGTATCATTCAAAACTTTCATAGGCTTGCCTTCTGTGTTTCTAGCCAGCTCACTGATAAAAACATTCATCAGATCAGGGGCAAGGACTGAACTCCGGGGAACTCTGAACATTTTAGGAGATGTGGGAGACACGTCTTGGCCGTCGAATCAATAATCATATCCTCAGCACCAGGACTCATCTATTCTCCTTAGTCTCATCTGTGCAGCTGCATGGAAAACTCATATTCAGGAGACACGATTATGGATTTTGCGAGGGAAGGAAAGCTGCACTAGGCCCCCTTGGGGACAGTTATTCAGGGGACCAGCCAGAGAGAAATCGCTTTTGTTTTTTTCCACTTACACAGATTTACAGCATGTCTGAGTCAAATGAAATGCCTTCGCTCCAAGGCCTATGCAGTCATTCTGGATTTTGACTCTGGCTGCTGAGTCTGGACTCCCCGACTCGGGCTGGGTTTGGAAATTGCCTTGTTATTTTATCAGTCAATTGTGCCAAGCCATGTTAGCTGATCTGTCTGGTGATTTGC